TACGTCATATGAACACAAGTATATAAAAGGTCCAACAAGCAGTATTAGAATAAAAGGAGTCTTTATCAGTGATCTGAATCTTGCTGTTAGCTCTAAGGCTGCACGCATCCCATTTAAGCAATAAATTCATTCGTTCTTCTAAACAGAACTAAGCAAAAGGCAAAATACTACCCGCCAGGGAGTTTCGAGCCCTGTTCAGTAATAACGTAAGAAACTAACAGATTGACTTACTGATTGAAAAAACAGACGAAACCCTAAATCCTATCGTCAAAAACATACGGTAACGTACAGTGATCCATTATCAGATTCTCTGAGACTATCAGAAAAGTTATAATTCCCTGAACCAAAACGGTACCGTACAGCAATTTCGTAAAAGTGGAACGCCTATAGCAGTGGACTACTAGAAAATGTAAAGCAACTCATCTAAATTACAAAATTGCAAAATCCTATGTAAATTTCTCTGGTTGAAGAAATTCAAAAAAAACGACGCTGGCTAAATTAAACAAAAATTAACTGCTAATTTTATGAACCCATGTAATAATCTGTCCTAAATATCACTGTACAAAGTCAACATTGTCATTTTGGGGTAAGAAAAGAATAAAGTACTCTTATTTTAATAAACCATTTACGAGGCCTAACTTCGACTTCAGAGCAGTACCTCCTTAGTCCTAAAACTTCGTACAGAAGTACTCCAACAAACGCTACGGGTACTTTTACAAAAAATATGAAGTTTAATCCTGACATTAGTTCACTCGAACATGCAGCTCACTATTCACTTTATTATTGATTGTTATTATTTATGATTATCGGTGCCGGTGTAACTGTGATCACTGGTTCGAATTTCCGATGGAGATCAAGATCAATCGACAGAAAGCAAACCGAACAAGAGCCTTTGTCACCCGGTCGGTTAGCCGTAAATAACACGATCGATGCGGCGCAAGATTGACTGGCACCACCAGCACGTAGCCGTCTCTGCCGCCGCCGCGGCACGACCATTGATTTTAAGAAACAGAAGTGATCAGACGACAGACGGACGAGGTGTGACCTCGATGCGGGATGCAGCAGCACGACGAGCGGAAAACCGGACGGAATACGACGAAAGCTTCGACATACGGCGGAGGCAAGTTTCGAAGAGGACGCCGCATGCCTCGCACTCCACGAGGACGAGGACCATGACGTACGAAGAGGCAGGCAACGGGCAACCAACAGCAGCGAGGTTCTGATCGAAAATCGTTTCGATCATGACCTCTTTGCGGCTTTCACATCGATCACACATTAAAGCGCAAAAAGTACCTTCGACTGCTCATTATTCATCGCGTGTCAAGACGGTCTATCCTCGGTCAGTCGGTCGGTCAGGTGGATGAAGGGGGGCATGTGAAAAATTGTGCAACTAGTAAAACCGTCTCTTCGGCAAGTCACAGCTAGAAACACCAGCCACATAAATGTTACGCATAGCATTTAGCACCGTTTACATGCGCGAGCTAGAGTAAAATTGTCATTCGAACGTTTCGACCTCAGGTATCGTAAGTGAACCGAATTCTTTTAAGTGCTTGTTGTGTCATGTCAAAAAATAGGACAGTAAACAAGCGCTAACTCAAGGCCCCTGGAGTCTCGTAGGCTAAACTACGGTTCAGAAATAGACCCGGTCAAATGAAGGGGCAATACTCATCAGCCACATTCACCAGCGCGTCGAGTTACGGCCAAGTCCTCCAAGATGGTAGCACGCTTGAGTAGAAAGTATGAGAGAAAATTTCGTCCAGCAATCGATCGAAAATGTCTGATAATGGTGATGATGTCGCGTATGACATAAATAAATGAAAAAAAACTTATCATCATTCATGCATGTCGCAGAATGCGGCCTAAGAGAGATACTGCTCCATCGGAGAAGGACATTCGGCTGTGCAATTCGAAAGCGATGCAAGACCAATACGTTTTTCGCAGCGTTGAAACGGAGCGCAACGTAGTGTTCTTCCGTGCAGCAATGAGGAGATGAATGGATAGTAGATGAGCGACCTCAGTACTCAGCGTGACTCTTCACTTTACTGTAATCCAAGCAAGGGAGCCAGAAACACATATACTAAATCTAAAAAATTAATTTACTGTAGCAATACCAGATTGACTATGATTAGTTTAGATGCAGTGACTCTACTACGTGACAATTCACAGACACAGAGACAGTGACACATAGCGTCTAAAATCAATCTTATCAAAAATGAACCGACCAGCGTCGCTCTGTCATTCATAAAACTGATGATACATCATTATCAATGAACATCCGTTGCAAACAATGTTTACTTTGCGCTTGATAACGTGACTTATCAGCAACAATGTCATATGATATTTCGATCGGCTGGCCTGTCATATTACGCATGTGCGATGAGATGCGAGAAACGCATGAGTAATGTACTGGATCGCGCTCAAGTGGCATAAGAGTATGTCCCCTGACCCGAAAGTACTCGCTAATAATGTCTGAACTTGCTCAAGTCTCAAGATTTGCACAAATAATACCGTTGAAGGATGAAAGGGAAATGCAAGAAAACTCAGATATTCCATCACCTGCATCTGTCAATCACTGAACAAGCATATGAACTAGTTCTAACCTAAAACTAACTTGTAAACTGTTTTAAGCGATGTCCATACGTACGCAACGAAACTGTCCAAATCCAAGCTCTCGACCTACAAACTAAACAGAACTCGCATGGAAAACATAACCGGTCCAAAACCCCTCTAAAATAACTCACCTTTTGTCCTTCTGAAAAACGTAAAGCACTAAAACGCGAGTATCACTACGTGGAAAAGAAGCAGTAGACTAAATGGTATAATGGCTACAAGGATGAAGAGAAATGCTGCCTTCAGAAAACAAGATACTCCTTAACAGAGGTACAGTATCAGGGAAGGAGGTACCGATGAATTTCATTAGGTGATAAAACTACGACCGAAACCAAACTTGAAGAAAGTTCAACAGCATAACGAAAGAACGTGTGATGAGTTTAGCAAGTCCTACTACAAGAAGTTCAACCATAGCCGAACACAACATCAGTTAGTAGCAAGCCATCTCCTGTCAATTTTCCGGACCGGATTCATCCGGAGTAATTGCCCACCCTTTGCGTCTGGTAGCCTGGGGAACCGTTTAAAGCTGACAATAGCTGCATGCTATTTTAGCACTTGCAGTGCGAGGCGTATAACCACACTACTTTGTTCGGTGGACCAACAACCGGCTCGAATACCAAAGGACATTCCTCGATCGGCAGGCATTTACCAGTAAGCCAAATTAGTTAACAGAAGAGAAACTGCAATAAAAAGTTATGCCCGCGTACTAGAAACTAGTCGGCAGCACCAACAATAAAAACGCGCATATTACGATCTGTTCCATAAATATTGCTACAGTATTTTACATTTTAAATACTGACCAGATTTACACGATGAAATGCACCCTTAAAGAAACGAGATTTTTCACTTTACACCAATAAAGCGGTAGTGTATGACCGATAGAAGTCTTTACACAAGCACCGTCCGCTTGCTTTCAGTTGCCCAACGCCGGGAGGGGGACATTTAGGCATGCCACGGCTCCATGGAATTACAGCGCCCGCAATGCATCGCACGCATGACTGCGTCTCTTAGTCGCGTTGAAAAAGTGCATGTTAAAGCCCGAACGATGTGATTATCCGTAGGCAGAAAACAGTGCAACATGCAAGATAAACAAAATATAACCTCTATGTTGTTAGATAGCCTCTATGAGTGGGAGCTTTCGATACCGCTGGTAAAAATCAAACTCCCACTCGTGGTGGCTACGCCGGAACATCTGGCTATATTTTATTTCATCTTGCTAATATTATATATTCCATTTAATTTCACGCGGCATGCACAACCCTTTCAAAACCCTTTACAGAAACTGATAACCCACAACCATACAAGTGGATTTCTGAAGTTTTAGTTCTGAGAAATCCGGCCTACACTGTTTCGTGATGCAATACAAACCAAGCTGTCTCCGAATATAAGAGATGGCTTGCTTCAACAGCCCTATGACGCTAATTGGCCAGCTGTATGCTGTATAAAGATCACAAGTTGCTCTGGGCAGTTCTGTTCCAACCGATCCCACTCACCCACTGTACAAACGTTTTTTTTTCAGCAGTGCTTTTCGAACTGGCAAAGCACAAGATTCTTGTACATTCCTCGCAGGTGTCAAAATGAGGCTAACCAGAGGGTCAATCGTTCCATGAATCGTCGTCCGATTTCTGATCGATCAAAAGAAAGAAAGAAACCTACAGTTACTTTGGACTAAGCACTGGTCAGCCTTATAGGGATGCAGTTTTTCACTGCTTGTTTTGTTGTTCTGTATTTGTTCATTTGCTATATCTAGGTTTCGGTAACTTATTACGTGCCGTACGGTTCAACTAAGCAAATTTCACTGACTGACGTGATGCATAATCGTCAATCTCGCAAACGAAAAATGGTCAACAATTAAAACGCAGTCAGTTAACAGGACGAGTTAAAGCCACGGATTCCAGAAAGTTTCTTTCAATTTATGAACTGATAAGAATTTGGTCGAAAACTCATCATCAATAACCTGTCATAAACCAAGTTTCCAGAAATGAAATACGTACAAAACTACCATTTGTAAAATAGGGTGATCTTATCAGTGGAAAGCTGACCATCTTAGCATATGAGGCATTGTCGAACTTCAAAACGGAGGAAACTCACTGAATCCGATATAAATATGTTGAAATTGCTGCATAAACGTATATAATCCGGCCATTTGTTTGCCATGATAGCAATTATTGTGACTGGCCGAAACACGGTAATTAAAAAGGTAGGGCTATTAAATCTGATAAATTCAATCTTTTTAAGACCAAACTAGTCGTCTGACGAAATACCGAAGTAAATGGTTGTGCGAAATAGGTACAAACGGTAGTATTGATTAGTTGCCTGTCTGCATAAAGGTTTATGGTGTTCACTTGCCGATCCATGGTTCGAGGCGACAAGTAAATCCATTAGCTGGTATTCAAACAGGCAAGGAATCGAAATCTCCTGTCTTGTTTATTTGAATATTCGATAAGACGGCGAAACGATCGAGAAGTAAGATCAGTTGAAACATCATCCCAAACAGCGGCTGGCTTGAACGAGATCTTTCTCTGCATTCCTGCAAGACCATTGATAATCACTTAATTCCAGTATCTTTTAATCATGAATGGAAATGTTCAGTTTGCATTTAAAAATATTGTCGATATTTATGCGAGGACGATGATGAAGGACCCATTCCACGTTGAAACAAGACCCCTGAAGACCTGGAAATTCTTGAAGCAGTGGGATGATGGAATGTTACCTTTATCCTAAAAAAATCAATATCAAAGAATTACCAGTGAATGAAGAATCTAGTCAGATCGTTAAAGGGAAAGAACATAGACGATCTACGAGAGAACGAGTTTTTAATGACAAGGCAGTTTTTGAAAATCGGCAAGTAGTAAATTTGACCTCATTTCAGTCTGGCCATCAGAGCTTGGATGCAAAGTCTGTTTTAAGTGACTGTAAAAAATGTTTTTAAGTTAAAAAAACTACGTCTTCCACAGTTGTATAAAAGAAACTGCAACAAAATAATGAGAACATGTCATATTTCGAACAGTTCGATTTTTTCGCATTTAAATTGCGTATTTATGTTGTTCGGCAGAAACCTTGTCGGTACTGCATAATGCAAAACATCGAAGACTGCATAATCAGTGGCATGAGCAGTTTTGGTCTGCGACGCATTCCTCAACAGTCAGTTTTACATGCTGTACGGTGACGACATAAGTTTCAGGCTAGCCTGCACATCATTATCTTACTGTAAGATGATTCATGAACGTTCTGTCCTTCGAGCGTTTCACTTTTTCTCGAAACACGGGACAAATGTACGAGACGAAATTAGCATGTTGATCATACGGTAAAAAATAGATTTAAAAAAATAAATTGAAATGCGGGAATCGCGCTGTAAGCGAATGTTTCAGTTTTTACTTTTAAACCCTGAGACCACAATGCGAGGAAAGCAACGAAAACCGAGCCACCGTTCGGGGAGACAGGTGCGTGGGACGTCGCGTACTGAAAAGAGGAGAAACAGACGTTCGTCCCATATTGTGTGACGCGCAGTCGTAAATCACGCACCGACCGTGTCGGCGTCGGAGGCGTACTTCCGGCGGGAGAACAGCACGTGATCATCACGAGACAAGCACGTGAAACAACGAGCGCGCACGTGTGCGATGTCAACACGTTTCTCTGGCCGTCGCAGTCAGAAAGAGGCAGGCA